CTGAGGATCCCCGAGTGGGGGCCAGGGGGGGCCAGTGGGGCCCAGTGGGGGGGCCAGTGGGGGCCAGTGTGAGGGAGTGGGGGCCAGGGGGGGCCAGTGTGAGGGAGTGGGGGCCAGTGGGGGGAAGTGGGGGCCAGTGGGGGCCAGTGGGGCCCAGTGGGGGGCCCAGTGGGGGCCAGTGTGAGGGAGTGGGGGCCAGGGGGGGCCAGTGTGAGGGAGTGGGGGCCAGTGGGGGGAAGTGGGGGCCAGTGGGGGCCAGCGGGGCCCAGTGGGGGGGCCAGTGGGGGCCAGTGTGAGGGAGTGGGGGCCAGGGGGGGCCAGTGTGAGGGAGTGGGGGCCAGTGGGGGGGAGTGGGGGCCAGTGGGGGCCAGTGGGGCCCAGTGGGGGGCCCAGTGGGGGCCAGTGTGAGGGAGTGGGGGCCAGTGGGGGCCAGTGTGAGGGAGTGGGGGCCAGTGGGGGCCAGTGGGGGCCAGTGTGAGGGAGTGGGGGCCAGTGGGGGGGAGTGGGGGCCAGTGGGGGGGAGTGAGTGAGTGAGTGAGTGAGTGAGTGAGTGAGTGCGTGACACCTGACGGGGATGAAGCTGGTCAAGGGAAGGAAGCAGGAGCGAGGAGGATAAGCTTGGGTTTGTTGTCGTGTCTGGCTTCGCCTGCCTGTACCTCTCTGGGCCTGCTCGCGGGTCTGTCTGTCTGTCTGTCTGTCTGTCTGTCTGTCTGTCTGCATGCATGTCCCGTCACCTCCTACCAGCCAGGTATCTCGCCTTGGTTCGTCTGGTGCTTCTGCACGTCTGTATGCATGTACGTCTGTATGTATCGTCTCCACTTTCCTCTTGGCGCGACCCCCCTTCCGCGGCCATAAGATAAACATGGTTCTGTTTCTACACGAACACACGTATATATTCCCGGGTCAGCCATGCCTTTTCCCCCACTCCCTGCCTTGCCGTACCCTGCCGTACTCTAATTCCCAACGTCCCAGCCCTCACCTCCCACCACTTGCTGTCGTGCCCGGGCAGAGGCTCCTCTAAGTTGTACACCGGGGAAGGGACCTTGCGGGAGTTGGGGGTTGGTAGTTAGGAGTTGGTTGGGATAGGCCAAGGACAAAGGGAAGGGTGTAGGACTAGGGGGATGGCAGTGGGTAGGAGGGGGAATGGTACCAGGCGGGGTAAGGGTATGGGAAGCGCGTCGTGGATTACAGCGGGGCATAATGGAGGCTGCACAGGGCCATAGCTGGAATACAGCGCGCGAAGATGCATAGTGCATCGGCCTCACTTGCCCCATGCCCGTTGCAGGAGATGCTGGGCGAAACCAGCACGTTTTACTCCCCAAACCGTGCCCGAAGCCTAGGATGGAAATAGGGCTCCCCTTTCTTGTGGCCATCCTCAGCATTTCCCCACCGGACTCTCCACACTGCGTCACCCCGCCTCAGTTCAGAAAGTCCATTCAACCGGTCGTAGTTGGTAGCTCGGTATGTTTGATCCGCTTGACCGCGCGCATGTCTGTTTTGCAGCCGGCCATGTCTCGCGTACTGTTCTTACCTGCTGTAGTCCACGACCGCTCAAGTTTAGATTCCCGGACGAACGGGCTGTGACAATGGCTTTTGCTACTGCTGTAGGTATAGGGCCCCCAGAGGGGGCTTGTTGTGCCATAACTCAAGGCCGAAGTGTCGACATGAAAAAATGCTTACAAGCGCATTATCAGTTTTCTGCCATGGATGCTGCTAAAATGTACGAGGCAGTTGTTCTCTGTTGTAATACGGATGACTTTGGAATTGTTGTTTTCATGCAACGAACCTGCCGTACTCATGTTGGCTGACGTCGGTGCAGTTCGGACATAGATCAACCGAGGGAGTTGCAACGACGAACGGTGTGCATAATACCAAGCATCTCTGCTAATATTGTTTCGTAGGTGCTGTGCTAGAGCGCACAATGATGCTGCACTGCCATGCGCATACTTCTGCCCGACCTGCTGTGGGTGCGGTCGACAGCTATATGCCTTTGTTTCAAGCATCTTCGAGTAGGAGGGGCATGGCGTTAGGAATGTCGCTGGTTGCTGGCCCGTCGGTTGTGGTCCAGAGCTCATCGTGGCCGGTCGGAGTCAGGCGTTCGATGGCGGTCTCCCACGCGGCGAAACCTACTATTGTTGCAGCTGCATCAGTTGAGGCATCCTCTACACAAGTGGCTCAAGGTATGAACCTTGTCTTGCAAGTATGGCCGGCCCGTTTCCTGACGCTTATGTGGCTCCGCCTGCCAACGCCAACGGACGCGCATCTCCTATTCACATATCTGTACTGGCTTCTATGTATACTTTCTGAGGCATTTCTTGGGATTAGGCTGGGCTTTTTTCAAGCGACGGGTTTCGTCTCCATCCCCGTCCTATGCTTCATTCGTGCGATGTCGGTGCTCATCTCAAACCCAAATAAATGGAGGCTTTTCGGCTTGGGATGTTTGATTAGCTGTGTCCTTATGCATTGCGCTGCAGAAGCCGAGAACCTCGTCATCATCGGGTCTGGGCCAGCGGGATACACAGCTGCAATCTATGCTGCTCGTGCGAATCTCAAACCGGTGGTTTTTGAGGGTTTCCGAAATGGCCGGGGAGGACAGCTGATGACAACTACTGAGGTACGCAAGCTTCCGCCACGTACCCACCCGCGCTGTGAGAGCAATAGCGATTATGTACCATGTACTGCTTTCCTGTCCCTTTCCCCAAGGGCCCAAACGACATGCCTTCGCTTATAATTACAAATAGTTTCGGGATTTAACTGATTGTTACATCTCCTCCCCCTCAACCGGGGTACGATCCCTCGCAGGTTGAGAACTTCCCAGGTAAGGTTCTGGAAGCTTCTTGGGTGCTGGTACGGCATGGGCGATGGATCAAACCTTAATGCAATGCTCTTGGAACCTGCTAGAACGCACTGCAGCAGCTGCAGCCACATTTCTCTCCTCCAAGGAGTCTCTTCCTGAGTGCCAAGTGGGGAATCAATCACAGCAAATCCAAGCTAAGCTAAGGTCGCCTGAAATGCGATTTCGGCGCCAGCGGAATGGGAGGGAACGGCGTGGACGCGAGCAGCGCTTCGGCTGCGAACGCGTATCACGCTAGCTAGGTTCTTGGGACTCTTGAAACTCAACGGAGCCCGCCCTCGCCACTTGCTTCTTCCGTTCCGTTGCGGCTAGTACTGGGCCGTACGTCGCAGCAGCAGTCTTTCTTGCAGGAGCAGCAAGCAGCAGCAGCAGCGTGGCGTCACAGCGACCAGGCTCATACATACCGCTATTGGAACGCTATGTGTTGCAGTCATGCAAACAGCATGATGACCCAGATCGTTACGACACAGCTACGTGCTGACCCAGATCAATTCGAGACCTAAGATATACAAATGACCCAAATCTCCATTGCGGTATACGAATGCGGTGTATTATACGGTATCCCGTCTTCCACACTGGCCACGGATTTGACATGGCGAGTGGTCAGCGGGTCGGATCCGAATGATGGCCTTTGGACATCATCCGTATGATTCCCAGGATGCGAACAGCGCCCACATCCTCCTCACAACATTTTCATGCATGGTGTGCGCCCGTTAACGTTTCGCAGCGTGGCCTTTCTCGACTGGTAATCTTATCCCCGCTGATTGTTGCATTGCCGGGTGCACCTGTTTCTCTCTTCGGCTGTGTTGGCTCTTCCCCCTACACCACATGCACCTCGTTACTGACACGGTCGCTTGTTACTTGCGCTGTACGTCGTTTTGTGCCGTACACCGTTCTAAGGCTTCCCGGAGGGCATCACTGGTCCCGATTTGATGGACCGGATGCGCAAGCAGGTAAGGTGGGGCTTTGGGAGCGCTACAGGGGGGCTGAGGGAGGGGAGGTGTGTGTGTGGGGGGGTGCGTGAGGAGGATTGGTGCCTCGGTGGCTATGGCAAGGCGGTGAGTGTCGGTGGGGGTAAAATGAGTTGCTGGCTCAGCGGGCTCAGCGGGCTCGGTGGCTGAATGATGGAGGGGATGTCCGCATGGAATAACAAGGGATGTGGCTCGCGATGTGGATGGCTGAGTATGGCTGAGCTTGCTGACAACATGGACGATGCTTCTCCCAGGTCATCTTTAAGAGAGTCTCAGAGCTGCGGACGGATAGACGGACGGACGATGAAGCCCTCCCTCTCCCGCGGTGCCGCAACACCCTCCACTCCTCTGCCCTCTATCCGTCTATCTCTCTAGTATCAGCTTCACTCGTCTGTAGGATTCACCTTATCCTCCCATCCCATTCACATTCATTTCACCATGTACCATACATGGCTCCACCTCCTGGCCCATGCTCTGCCGCGCATCATCATATTCGTCATCATCACCATATGATCCCGCCCTCCTATCTCATGGCTCAGCAGCTCCACTCGTTCGCGGTTCGTCTTTCCTCCTATGCCCACTTTCATCCCTATGCCTCACTCCCAATCCCCAGGCGGAGCGCTGGGGCAGCGAGCTCCACACGGAAGACGTGGAGGAGGTCGATCTGTCGGTACGGCCCTTCCGGATCAAGTCTACGGAGCGGGAGGTTCGCGCGCACTCGGTCGTCATCGCCACGGGCGCCTCCGCCAAGCGCCTGGGGCTGCCTTCAGAGCCCACCTTTTGGAGCCGCGGGATCAGCGCCTGCGCCATCTGCGACGGAGCCTCGCCGCTGTTCAAGGGCGGTGAGGTGGCGGTGGTGGGCGGTGGGGACAGCGCCACAGAGGAGGCCATCTACCTGACCAAGTACGCTAAGCACGTGAGTAGTACAAGTAAAACTCGATCTGAAGAGAACCAGGAGGAAGAGGAGTAGGAGGAAGGGGACGACTCACACGTGTATTTGGACGCGTATTGCTGTTCGCCCCCTTTTCTTTTGTATTGCGTATACACTCCCCAACTTGCGCCTGTCGCCGTGCGATTTTCCTCTTCCTCTTCCCTCCCCTCCTCTTCTGGCATGAGCTTCACTCGCTCGTGTTCCGTCTTTTCCCCCCTCCCCTCCTCGTCTCCCCCCCATTTCCCCCCCTTCTCCCCCTTCCTCCTCGGGTAAAGGTTCATCTCCTGGTCCGCGGACAGCAGATGAGGGCCTCCAAGGCCATGCAGGACCGCACGCTGGCCAACCCGCGCGTCACGGTGCACTTCAACACGGGAGTGGAGGACGCGTTCGGGGGGGAGGTGCTACAGGGACTCAAGCTCTTCGATACGCGCACGGGTACGTGCCTGCGTGCTCCCACGTCGTGCTGTTACACTAGAGCGGAGACCAAACGATTCTACGCATGGGGGGGATCGGGACTCATTTGCCAAGTGCCGTACCGTACCTGGCTAGTTGCCAACCGCCGTACCGTACCTGGCTAGTTGCCAACCGCCGTACCGTATCTGGCTAGTTGCCAACCGCCGTACCGTACCTGGCTAGTTGCCAACCGCCGTACCGTACCTGGCTAGTTGCCAACCGCCGTACCGTACCTGGCTAGTTGCCAAGCGCCGTACCGTACCTGGCTAGTTGCCAAGCGCCGTACCGTACCTGGCTAGTTGCCAAGTGCCGTACCGTATCTGGCTAGTGCCAAGCGCCCAAAGGGAAGGATTCTCTTACCTCTTTCTTTTGAAGGGTGCTTTTCCTTGGTGGGTTTGGTGAGGGAGGGACGGTCGGGGGTAAACGCTGGGGTTGTACTAACGCCGCAGGAGGTTGCGTCCTTCCCTCCTGGACAGGGGGGAAGGGGGGAACGCATCTCCTGTCCTGGGCTCCGGGCCCAGCTGTTACCCCTGATGCCTCTCCTTGCTGTCGTCTGAAGACTGACTCACCCCCGCTGCTGCTGCTGCTGTCGCTGTTGCTGTCGGGGCTGCACCTTCCCGTAAGCCTTCCCTCCTGTTTCACGTCTTAGCCCCTGTTTCAAGCGTGCATGGTTGCCTGCAAATCTTTTCATAGCTTCCTTTCCCTGCTGCATGCCGTCTGTCTGTCTGTCTGTCTGCCTGTTTGTCTACCTGTCGTGTCCTAATGTCCACAGGCGAGAAGCGCACCCTGGCTGTGCAGGGTCTGTTCTACGGCATTGGTCACACGCCCAACAGCAAGCTGGTGGCAGGGCAGGTACGTGCGGCTCAGCGGTTCAGCGGCCTCTTCTTCTTCTTCTTCTTCCTTATTATCCGTGACGTGAAGACATGAAGAGAGTGTGCATGTGTGCGTGCGTGCATTTTTGTGTGCATGTGTGTGTGTGCGTGTTTGTTTTTGCTTTGTGGCTCCCGTAGTCCCGTCAGCCACTCGTGTTGCTTCTTCCCTTTCAATCCTGATGTACCTCAATACGCACACACACACACACACACACACACACACACACACACACACACACACACACACACACACACACACACACACACACACACACACACACACACACACGAGGAACGAATCCTGAATGGGTTTTGTTCATCAAGGAAACATAAGGGGCCAGTTTCTCCTTCCAGGTCAACGTGTGTGTCTTGCGTTTGCCTCCTGTGGCCTCATGAACCGGAGGGTGGTATAGCGGGGGTGTGGTCGTCAGCGTTGTATGAGAACTGCCACGCGGCTCTACGTGAGACCTTTGGTTTCCAAGTGGTGTGGTGGTGCTTCATGCGCCGTACATCATGAGCCGTACCGACTGAGACAGGGCACATTTTCTTCCTTTCCCTCCTCTTTCCTCGTCTTTCCCGCCGGTTGGTTTCAGGTTGAGCTGGATGAGGCGGGTTACGTGAAAGTGACCCATGGGGCGTCCACATCGGTTCCCGGGGTCTTTGCAGCCGGTGATCTCCACGATACGGAGTGGCGGCAAGCGATCACCGCGGCCGGCTCGGGCTGCATGGCGGCGCTGGCGGCGGAGCGCTATCTAACCGCCAACGGTCTGGCTCGGGAATTCAAACAGGCGGAGGAGGCCGCCGCTGCAGCCACCAACAGCCACGGTGGCCATGGCACCAACGGTAACGGTAACGGCAACGGAGCCGCCAAATCCGCTGCGGCTACGACGCCTTCAGCGGATACGGCGGAGACGTTTGACATCAATGTTGATAAGCACAAGGGCCAGTATGCGCTGAGGAAGCTGTACCACGAGTCAAAGCGGCTGATTTGCGTGCTGTATACGGCACCGACATGCGGCCCTTGCCGTACACTCAAGCCGATTTTCAACTCTGTGTTGGACGAGTACAAGGGCAAGGTGCATTACGTTGAGATTGACATTGAGCAGGTGCGGCGGCTGCGGGATTGTGTGAAGCTTGGGGGAGAGGATGATTCGATTGAGGTGTTGGGCAGTTGGGTTTCGTAGGGTTTTAATGGATCTTAGCACTTGAGAGTTCCCGAGACTGGGACAGGAAAAATTGTGTTACATATTTTGGAAGAATGGAAGGATCTTAAAGATCGAGGGGCTAGGGACTCCGTATTCGGGTGCTGAGCATGGAGTCTTGGACTGGGTAACGTGTGATCTCCTTGCAGGCGCTAGAGCGCAGATTCCCTAAACCCTAAAAGAAGTATTGCTTATGTCGCTTTGCACTCAGCAATTTATGCTAATGTACTGCAGTACTGTTGTACCGCGGCGCACAAACGTACGCACACTTTTTCTTCTCCTCCCAGCCCTTCCCTCCCGTCCGCGCTTTTCCTCGTCCCCGCCCGTTTTCCCTTGGATCTCCACCACCACCACTACTGCTACTACTGCTACTGCGGCTAATACTATTGCCACTACTACTGCTACTGCGGCTACTAGGATCCCGAGATTGCAGAGGCGGCTGGCGTGATGGGCACTCCCACCGTACAAATGTTTAAGGATAAGGCCCGCGTGGAGCAGCTGAGCGGTGTCAAGATGAAGAAGGACTACCGGGAGATCATCAACCGGCACTTGGGGGCGGAAGTCAAGGTGGCGGCTTGAGGAGGGCGGCGACCGGAGGTGGCGTTGGGGTCTGCAACATGTGTCGGATGATGGAAGTAGGAGCGGAGGTGGCGACGCAAGGCCGGAAGATGGGGGGAGAGGTGGGGCTGGCGACATGGCACATGTTTGTGCACACGCTCGGTCGGGGCCAGTGGGGGGGCATCTTGTGAAGTCCCGAGTTGGTTAAGAAGCACGTGAAGAGAGTAAAGAAAAGGCGCTCCGGGACAGTGTTTTGGGGTGGAGTTGCATTGGCGTGATGATGGTGGTGCCCTGAACCCTAAGGGGCCGCCTCGGATTGCGCTTTGCAGGTGCGAGCATTGGCAGCGCGAACGTGTAAATATGAATGAATTGCAGGGGGAGCAACGCGGCAAAGGGTGGGAGACGAGAGCTGTGAGGGGGGGTTCTCCAATTATGGCTCACATTGTTGCCAAAGTAGGCACCGTAGGTGTCAGGTTTTGAAAGCTGCGAGGGCGGGAAAGGGAGCGAATGAGTGAAGAGGTTGCAGAGAGCATGTTTTTGGAGGTGCCTATGATTTGTTTTAATGTTTTGCTTGCGTTGACGAGTGTATAATTGTACGAGTGTGCGTGTTTTGCGTGCGCGTATGCGTGTGTGTGTGTGCGGGTGCGCGGCAGGGCTCCAGAGAACTGGGAAGCCTAAGAAGACGGAGTTTTCAGTGTGTGGTGGTTGGGAGGGGGAAGGAAGGGACCCTGGGTCAGCGGGTGAGAGTGGAACCAACGGCTACTTGAAAGCGTGTCTGTGTTTGCATGGATGTATGTCCGGGCCCGCGGTTGTGTTGTCCTCGAGTATGTACGTTCTTCAAAGCGGTGTGCCTTACCTCACATTTATAGCAGTAAAGAAGAAGAAGTCTGCCAGAGTCTAGACCGGGAGGCAAGGCTGTCTTCCTGTCCGCCCCATCCCTGGAGGTGCGTTTTGCATGCTCTGCCGCCGGAAGCGCAGCAGCGGCGATACCGAGTATGATGCGGTCATTATTAGATGTCGTCACTATCCCCAGGTGTGCCAGTGGATTTAAATCGTCCTGGAGAGTTTTTGTAGTTAACGGGACCCGTCTTCAACGGTTTGGTCTGTTTGTTCGTTTTTTCAGTCCGTTTGTTTACCTGTTAATATTATTGTGTTTTTGCCATGCTATATGTTCACACTGTGTCAGTGAAAGTGATGTCCTCTTTTTGCGAGGTGTTAATACGTCTTATGGAAATTGACACTCGGAGAGGCTGGAAGGGGTTTTGTAACTGCCTGTGTGGCATGGCTTGGGAGGAGGGGAAAAGGCCCTTTGTTACGACATGATTGTACGAGGGGTGGATGGACTCACGTTGTCACTCTCACCTAGAATGAGGCTATTGGATTAGGGGGGACGTGAAGAGGGCTTCAGGTAGACCAGGGCTGCATGGATTGCAGCATGTACATGGGCCCATTTTTGGTGGTGGCGAGGTGGTGAGGCAGCCCTTCAGCCTTCGGTTCTCAGGGTTTTGGAGAAGGGGTCAAGGAAGGAAGATGAATGGTGGGAGATTTTCTGTCTCATTCTTAAGGTACGGCGGTTTCCGTTGACCTTGACCCTGATGTCTGGGCTGACAGTCACGTTGTGGGGACTTTGTGTCCTGCATGTCGGTTCGTGGCTGGTGCGTGGCTGCATGGTGCTGGTGCTGATACCGGTGGAGGGGCTGTAAAAGAGGGTGATGGGGTGTCAGGTGTGAGGCGACATGATGAGCTGCAGGTTACTAGCACTACACAATTGTTCTTTCGTATTTCTTTCCTTTCATGCGAATGAATGAGTGCCGTCTGCCCTAGGTTCGTGGTGTTGCGGTGAATTTTGATTGGACAGCCCAACTAGATTCGTCACCTAAGCTGGATGTGTCTTAGGCCGAGCCTTACTTTTTTCGTGGTATCATTGTCTCCCGCCGTACGTCGTGTTGCCCACAGCCGTACATGTACCTAAGATTCCGATCCCAGCCTGAAAGGTTTTGAGGCCCTGACTGAGTGGACCGCTTACACCTGTCTCTCAAGTAAGGATGCTGGATGGCGGCTTCAGCGATTTTCGTGACGCAAAGCAGTAAACTGTGCGCATATTGTTTATGAGAGAAGGGAGATCTTGCCGGTTGCCAATATCTTTAAAAGTCTATGTAAGCGGAGCGGTTCGTGAGTAAGGTGTAAGAAAACCGCGGCGTGAAGAAAAAAGAGATGGTGGGGTGACGCGCGTTGAGGGAGAAGGAATAAGCGAAGGCGATGCCACAGGGCCTGTGCGAGGGTGTGATGGTAGTAGTGCGATAGGCACAGCTGGAGCGCTGGAAGGACGGGACTTTGCAAGGCACTTTTCGGTGTGGGATGCGGTCTTGTCAGGGTTGTGCAGCTACCTGGCAGACTGGCAGAGATCGTTGGAACGGAAAGAAATTAAATGTCTCAACATGCGCCTCCGAATATCGCGGGGCTGATGCCCTGTTGCCCAAAATTCACAAAAAGGCACTGTGTGATGCCGAGCCGGTGTATAGCCCTTCACTGTTCTGGTGCCCTCGGCTGGGACAGATTGACTCTTGCCCCCTCCTGACATCCTGCCCCGCGCACAGGTAAGCAAACCGGCGTAAGGCCCTCCAGGTGACTGACCGTTGCATACACAGCTTTACACGCAACACTGGTGCAAGAGAGGATCAGGACACGCGGGACTTTCCCCCCCCCCGACACACACACACACACCCTCACACCCTCACACCCACACGTGGACTGAAACGACAATCTGGGACAGTTGGGTGTTGTGACCCATGGGTCGAAACTTCACTGGCACGACGTGCACTAAGATTTTAATGTTGTTCGGGCGCGCTGTGTCTTTGCACATACCACCAGTATCTGTTGTAGGTTTTGCATCGCAACTGGGCTTCTGCAAAGGCCATTTACCGATGTCGCCAAAACAAAACGTCACTCCCATGTTTGCACGCATAACTCTCTGCCTCTTTGTCACCTAGTCACAATCAGGGCACGTGCGTTAGGTTACATGTCGAAGCGCCAGCTTGTGGAACCCAAAGACCACTCGCTTCTAGGGCGGCTGCCAGACGCTGTGGGACCAGAGACTATCGCGTTCACCTTTCTACTAGACAAGGATTCAAAAAATGTTAGTGCCTACATATCTGAGCATCTTCAGGGTGCTGCCAGCTGGGACACGCGGTTGCTGGATTTCACCCGGCAGTTAATGTCACTGTGCCTATTGGTCCCCTAACAGGCACAGTGACACTAACTGCCGGGTGAATACCCAACAATAACAGATTGATTAATCTTCAACGTACTGCAACCTGCATCTTCTAATGTCATCCAGGACGTGCGCTAACCCGCGTTGATCCTTGACGCCCATAATCTCGTGAAACAACAAAATATATCTATGGTGGCCGTTGATCGTTGTTCGTTATAATCGCTGAAAACCATCCGCTTACAGACGCCAAACAATTGTTTGGCAAGCATTTTCCATATGCCTTTTCCCTTGAACTGCATTACTATTGTACCATACCGTATCAGTCGGGACCTGGGTTACGCAAAGTGATACATAGGCCCCGGAGCACTCTATTCATGCTATTTATTTATGTATATTGCATATTATGCCACATCTCTTGAATCCATCAGCGCACGTGATTAGTGCACGCCAACCGCCGGTGCAGTTTACGCCATTTCCCTCTGGCAATAGTAGGTCCTTGCTTCAAAGTCGCAGACTTCGGAATCTAACAAGGACTCGCAGCAATGGTCAGCATGGATCTCAGATCGGGGGAGGAAATGCAGCTTCGGACCTTCAGCAGCGTCTGCGGCGCAAGACGCGCGGCGAGGTCATCACCTCTGGCGCGCGCATCGGTCTGCCGGTCTGTTTGGGGGAGATCCTGTCGAGGGAGGGGTTAACTTAAAGGTGGGGAATGCCATCAGAACCGAGATCAGAGAGCAGCACTGGGGGTCCTTGACCGTTTGTCTGCCAAGTGGCCACGCATCTTCCACACATGCTGTGCTGAAGCAATGACAATGACAGTTTCTTGTTGTTCCAATCTCTCACATCACCACAACGGTGAGATCTCTTGCAGGGCCACACCCTGCCTGAGGGGGGCCCTTCCTTGAGTCGGCTGTTAACTCTCTTTCTCCCCTCCCACACACACGCACTTTCCATCTGCACCGGCTCTCTCTCTCTCTCTCTCTCTCTCTCTCTCTCTCTCTCTCTCTAAGGCGGCCTTTCTGGAGCAGCAGCTAGATGTGTTTGAGTCTCTGCTGCCCCGACTCCCCATCAATCTGGACCAGATGCGTGCATCGGACTGGGTGAGTTAGTGAGTGAACAAGCGAGCGGGAATGATGGACTGGCTGGCTGAGTGGATGTCTGTTGTAGGCGGTTGGGTGGTTGGGTGGGTTTGTTAAAACCCAACCACCTGGTTGGAAACCAACGACAACTGAGCAACGGACCCGGAGCTCCATCAATATGTTGATCTTCTCATTCTTCCGCCATTATGTGCTGCTACTGCTGCTGCTTCTGCTAGTTCTGCCTTTTCTTCGGTATGCTGAACATTTTGGTTGCCCCCCTGCTACTGCTGCTCTCACTCCTGCTACTGCTGCTATTACTACTACTACTTCTACTACTGTACTGTTGCTGTTGTACTACTGCTATTGCTGGTACTGCTGCTACTGCTACAGGCCCGAGTAGTTGCGGATCCCGACCTTGGGGCGAAGCTGGTCTTGATCAAGGTGGGCTGGGGTTCGAGGCGTCGTACGGGGCGGCCATATGACTGTACCTGTCGTACTCGCAACACGTGAATTTACGTGGAAAAGCATCCGGGTACGGCTGTGTTCTTGCTCCCACTTCTACCACGACGGTGAGCAACGGCATTTGTATCTAAGCTGCGCCACCGTATGCGGATGTGGTGTATGTATCTGTGTATATATGTCTGTGTTTATGTCTGTATATTTACCTGTGCTTATGCGTGTGTATATATGCGTTTATATATGTGTGTGTATATATGCGTGTGTGTGTGTTTTGGCGCAGGTGGGCTTCCCCGCTCTGAACGTTGAGGTGTTTCTGTCCAAGCACCCTCGGACGTTGCTCTGGAGCCGGGAGAAGCTGGAGGCCAATATCAGACAGGTCCGCGGTCCATTGCGGTTTTTGTTGTTAGATGTTAGTTGGCGGGGGTCGTCGTATTGGTGTGGTAGTCGTCGTTATTGGTCTTGGGTTGCTGTAATGTTGTCGTAGCGCCGTTGAAAGGCACCTCTTATGCATCTTGTTACATCTTACTTCACGTCACGGATGAAGGCGCTTAGGATCGGTCCAGGGTTGGCTCCCAAGCGGTGTGCTTAACCCGTGCGACCTGTACGAGCACCTCTTTTAGGTCACCGAGATGCCCCCACACACCGGCGCTTCCACCCGTACTTTCGGGCCTTACTTGCCGTACCATTGGGCTTAATAGTTGAGTATTTTATGTGGGTTGGCCGCACACCTTTCATCACAGCACAGCACAGTAGACCGGTAAGTTTATGGCCTATCCGCCGACCGATTGACGGACTCGGCAGCTCCCCCCTTCCTCCTGCGTGCTTCTTAGACCTCCCCAGCCCCCGCTTCGCTTCGTTTCACCCTCCTCTCCGCGCCTTCTCCGCCTCCACGTTAGGTCGCACCGGTGTTCGATTCCCTGCCCCGTCCGGAGCTGGTGCTGGAGGTCCTGCCGGAGCTGTTGGACCCACGGCAGTGCTTCAGCGTGGTGGCCACCCTGAGGAAGTGGTACCCCAAGAAGGACCCACTGCAAGTGCTGCAGGTGCGTGGGCGTTGGAGTGTGCGTGCTTTTATTGGTTTTGCATGTGTGTATGCATGTGCCTGGAGGAAAAAGAAGGAAAGGAAGAAGAAGGAAAGGAAGGAGAAGCTTGGAGTTGCAGAGCCGACGGGTTTTAGAAGGCCCGGGGTTATACACAGCGCCACATGGCGCGCCACCCACCCCCTCCCCCCCGGCACCGTCGGTCAACAGCCCGCAGGTTGACCAGGGGCCAGGGGCCTGTCGTTCCTGCATCTTTGCGTCTTAGACACCTACACTGTGGACTCAACAGCCGAACATTCCTCCTGCCGTACTGCCGTACAGATGGACCCAGATGTGATTCGGCGGGCAGAGGCTTGGGACGTGCCTCTGGAGCCGGTGTTTTTCGACTCGAGCACAAGCACCTGGACCGCTGCTGGGTATAGCCGCAACAAGCAGGAAGACTGGCAGGTGAGTTGGCGATGTTGAGTTCAAGTATACCAACGCCAATGGGCTGCTGCTATTGCTGCTAGTACTCTGGGGTGTCTTGTGCGCCAGAGGCGGTTGGAAGTGCAGGAGGTGCAGGGAGTGCAGGGCGCAAGGAGAGGCTAGAGGTCTGTATGCCGATCATAATATAGGTGCATGGATGCATGGGTGAAATACGTGTGATGGTGGGTCCAATTGCTTTTCTTTTCTTACTAGCTCCGTACTTATGCTGAGCCGATGGGGTATGGTGCACAAGAACAACCTATTTCTGCAGATTGTGATGATGGTGCATGTTGCGGTGCGTGAGGCTCTCCTCTCTTAAGATGTTTGAGCATGGGACTCGATCTCTTGGCCATGGGACTTGACAGGTGTACATCGAGCAGGAGATTTACAAGCGGAAACCGCAACCGATCGACAAGCAAGACGCGGTAGTGGTGGGCGGTAAAACTAACTTGGCGGCCGGCAGCACAACATCTTTGCCATACAGCGCTGAGGGATCCTCCAGTTCGTCTGTCGTGGCGGCTGGTGATGACGGGGGTCGGAACTGATGCCTTGACGGCCTTGACGGCGGCGACGACGGCTATAGCAGTGGCGGCAGCCAAAACTCGGAAGCTCGGCGTTAGCAATACGCAAATTGGACCGGAATGATTGAACCTTTTTATGTTATAAAAGAACGTATCCTTATATGTTATGTCTTTTACGTAACTTGCGGCTCTAAGGGAGCTCTTGGGCCCCTGCTAGCTCGTATTGGTGGGCTCGTTACACCTCTCTCTGGGTAACTATAACAACCGAGGTGTAACACACACACATCGTTAATCCGTAACATCACAACGGCTACACCGGCTGCGTGCGATGCCTTACACATAGAAACTACACCTAGACCTGGGACGTCATGGACGTCTTTAAAGAGCAACCTTTTGACCACCAGCTCTGCCCAGCAAAAGCATAAGAGAGTGAGCTTCACCCATCATTACATCTGCATCTATACATCCCATGATGCAACCGCCTTCCTGCAGGGTTTGTACCCAACAGGCAGATGGACAGACAGACAGACACGGCATCACCACAAAACAAGCCCTGTCTGAGACAAAAGACATCCGAACCGATGATGGCTTCCGTAGTCCAGCCAAAACGTCTCGGCTCTTCTTAAGGAGAGACCAGTACGAAGCTACTAGTGTAGGACGCCCAGGTTAGACGTGTCGTATACGAGTCGAAATGCTAGATTCCTCTCTTTTCCCTCCCCTTCCATTCGCATACATGTAACGCTCACGGCGAGGCACCGCCGGCGGACACGTCAATGAGGTCCTCCTGGCCATGCCGTACAAATTCCCGCACTTCGCCAGGAGGAGGACGAAGCCCATTTCCTTCCTGAAGCCCATTTCCCAGCTCCCGTCCAAGCTCCTGAATCCTTCCTGGCATCCTCCCGGGCCCTACGCCTCATAAGGCCGCACAGGACATGATCCGCCGCCTCCAAGCGTCAACAGTTCGTCCTTCCCCTTCCCCTTTATTTCTATCTCTTCACCATCTTGTTCTCAACCCGTCACACCTCCGGCTGCTTTTCATTTTCATTGGAAAGCAAAAAAGCCGAAGGACAGGAAAACCGGAAGCCGAAGGCCAAAGCGATGTAAACATAAGTGCACACACACACACACACTCTTTACACACTCTTACACACTCTTTACACACCAGAGCACACAAGAGTCAACCCACATGACCACATCAAAGTAAACAACCCATACAGAAACGACCCACGGGTCACTCCTTAAGGCGCAGACGCTCGCAAGTAAAATACGCAATGCAGTTCAAAGCCATCAGGACAGGCAATCCTACCCCCTTGTTTCTCCCGCACAGCACAGCAAAGATAGATCCGTAGAAACATTTCCATTCCTCCTCTCTTCCTTCCTTTCCTCCATCTCGCCCTATAGACTCCCTTCAACCCATTTTTCCTAACCTACATATCCTACATACTACAAATTCGTATTCACGTATTCACAGCTACGTGAAAACTCCTGGGCCCTCTCCGGGCGCATATTAGCAGCAAGTCGCTAGCTTGATATGGGGCCACAGGCGCCCCGGACCGTGTAAAACACATTACATACATACATACATACATGCGCACACGCGTTCACTTGCCCCGCAGCTCCACCAGCGTCTGAACGACCCCTGGGTCGGCCAGAGTAGACACGTCTCCGAGCTGATCCTCCTCCTTGGAGGCTATCTTCCGAAGGACACGCCGCATGATCTTACCACTGCGGGTCTTAGGCAGTCCGGGGGCCTGAAGGGGGCCCCGGGGCCGGGGATGGCGTCGGGGATGGTGTCGGGGATGGTGTCGGGCGGGGGACGGGGCCGGGGTTGGGTTTTGTTAGGCCGGAAGCAACCGTGTCATGATGCAAAAATCATGTGCTCAAAAAACCAACTGCCGATTCGGCGGCTGGGGGAAGAACAGACCAGAAAGGGGTTACGTTAGTAGCAAAAACACGGCAGATAGGGAGCTTTTGCCTGTACAGATATCAGAATCCTGATTCTCCAAATGACATTACCAAACTTCAATTAGCCTTTTTAACCACCAATTAGCCTATAAGAAACGTCGAAATAAATCATACACCACCAGACGGCACCCGTGCACACGCCATGCTCACCCAATGAATCACATCGGGTGCCGCAAAAGCCCCAATGGTTGAGCGAACCGCGCCAACTAGCTCCTTGCGTAGGGCTTGTGTGGGCTCCACGCCCGTCATGAGGGTCACGTACGCGTAAATGCCCTGGCCCTTGATGGGGTGGTCGTAGCCAACCACGGCCGCCTCTGCACAGGCGGGATGTGCCACCAGCGCGCTCTCAACCTCTGCCGTACCAATACGATGGCCAGAGACGTTAATGACGTCATCCACACGGCCCGTGATCCAGTAGTAACCGTCAGCGTCACGACGGCAACCGTCACCTGGGGATCGTTGGGTGAACGGTTGGTGGTTGGCGGTTCGCATGCGGCGGGAATGTGTGGATGGGTGGGCACACCATGATTACCCTTAATTGGCAAGAGAGAAAACTTTGTTGAATATCTCAGCTAAAAGGAAATCTATAGAATAGACAAGAAGACAAACAACCCGGCGCACTCGGCAGTTAAGAGGATGATAAGTAGGGTAGCAGCAATATGTAGTAAAAGCAGCAATAAGGACGGACGGCACGTGCTAGCTAGGCATAAAATCTTATAAAATCCTATATATTATATATAATATAATATTATAGCACTTTTTTTCCACACGTTTTCCATCCTCGCTTTCTCGGAGGTTTCCAGACACTCTTCCACACATCGCACAAAACCGCCAAGACCACCCACCCGTGAAGTAGTAGCCCGGGAAAGGCCCGAAGTAATTGGACTCGTAGCGCGCGTGGTCGCCGTACACTGTACGGAGGGTCGACGGCCAGGGCTGTGCAATGGCCAGCACACCCTCAGCTTCGCCCTGCGCGGTAAGGTACCCCGCGAATTACCCCGTGTACGTATGTTTGTATGTAAGTTTGCAGCGGACAAAAGATAATCATAACCATACATAAACGATATTTATATCATACATCGCTAGGGTTGGACTACTATATATATATATATATATATATATATATATATATATATATATATATATATATAGCAGTGGAAAGTTTCAACATACGGGGTCAACAAGCCAGGGACTTGTGCACCTCCCCCCGCTCACCCAATCAACAAACTCTCGAAAGGCACAAAACACGCACCACACATCCCTATTCACCTCCAGCTCGTTGCCCTTGTCGTCCAGAACGACAGGTCGTACACCGAAGAAGGGCAGGGTGGCGCTCCCCGGCTTCTCCGGCCAGGCCTTGGGTAGCGGGGTGATCATGTGGCCGCCCGTCTCCGTCTGCCACCAGGTATCGACAATGGGGCACCTGTGCAGGGGCGGAGGGGGGATCGGGCGGGGCGAGGGGGAAATGGGAGGACAGCGCGAAGGGGGAATGGGAGAGGGCGAGCACGGCTAAAATTACGATCCCTAGCTCCACAGGTTCACAATAACGCTGCCAGCAATCATCTCTCCAATCAATGTGTCCACCCGCCCCACCCACGGCATTCGCCAGAGAGTCCAGGGCTAGTCCAGGGCGCGATCCTAATGCCTTTCACACATCATCTTCCTAAACACCATCGCTTAAGCGACCCATCGACTGACGTACGTCCGTACGACGTCCGTACCTTCCTCCGCCTACAATCTCATGGTACCAGCGCCACGCCTCGGGATTGATGGGCTCACCGACCGAGCCCAGCAGCCGCAACGATGACGTGTCACATTGCTCAACCCACTGATTGCCAAAGCCCATCAGGGATCGAATCGCGGTGGGAGCTGTGTAAAAATGCGTCACCCGGTGAGACGCGACCACCTCCCAGCAGCGAGCGGGCGTGGGGTGCGTCGGCACGCCCTCAAACACCACCTGCGAGTTGGTTGGTGGTTGACAAGTTAGTTGGTTAGAAGCAGTTAATAATGACGGTTGAGGCTAGCGTGGCACATGGGAAGGAGATAGTGGGGGAAGGGAGGGGGAGGAGGACGGGAAAGAGCCATCAGGATGCGCAACGACATGGACGACTAGAGGAAGGAGGAAGGCGAGGAGGAGAAAGAGACAAAAGATGAAGTCAGTCCGGAAAGTAGATAATGTACGGATGTACGAGTGGGCAACTAACACACCAGCATAATTGCAAACGCCAGAACTGCGACCCGTGGGTCAGTAGGATGCGGACATACTGTCACGTCCAGTGACGCGCGGGTACTTCATCCCAAACCCACCAGAACGGCACACTCTCCCCCCCCCAAAAAGCCTAAACAATTGACTCCAGGCATCCGAGCCCTGAACGCAAAACACATACTCAGACCCGCAAAACACCCACCTCCCCACACAAACCCTTAAAACCCCATACACACACATACAAACATACACACGCACACACTATGAAAGCCCGTTCACATTCTGCCATCATACCTGCGTCGCCCCGTTCAGGAGCGGGCCGTACGCCAAGTACGTGTGTCCCGTAATCCAACCGCAATCCGCTGTACACCAGTACACGTCACCCCGCTGCAGACCAAACACGTGACGCATGGTGGTTGCGCCGTACACCATGTAACCGCCCGTGGTGTGCAGTACACCCTTGGGCTTGCCTGAAGGACGTGTCGGATGCGAATGTACGGATGCGAGTGTCGGATGCGAGTGTACGGCAGTGGTATGTACAATAGGCAGTGTATGGTAAGGAAAAGGTTGAGGGGAATTGAAATTGTTTAATAGTTCAAGAAAGGAGGTGGAAGGGGGGCGGGTCTTCGGAAAGCAAAGGATTGGCAAAGGTGAGGCATCAACAGACATGGCCCCCTGGTCACCGCCACTCCGACCGTGTGCGTCTCTTCTACAGGTTGTCGGTGGAAGATTGTCTCAAGAGTAAAAATTTGGGTTTGGGGGTTTTGGGGGAGGAGCATGTAGGACGACTGGCTACGTATCATACCAAGCCAGGAAAAGAAAGAAAAAACTTCCTTGTGGCAGGCCTCGTAGGCTTGTGTGTGTGTGTGAGACCCGAAATCAACAAGTTTGCGATCAACCTCCGATCCGAGTTCCAAATCCCTTTGCTCTTTACTCTTCTTTTTTTCTTCTTCTCCTTCTCCTCTTCCGCATTCACATTTTTTTATTATTAGCACGCCACACGACCCCCTCACCGGGCCCCCCCCTCACACACAAACCAACCAAAAACACAAAAACACAAACACACAAACAGACAAACCCAACCCTGGAAAGCCCCCGTAGCGTACCCGTAGACCCGGAGGTGTAGAGCAGGAACAGCGGGTGTTCGGCCTCCACCCACTCCACAGCGCAGGAAGGCGGTTGCACGGAGACCTCCGACTGCCACCAACGATCTCGTCCAGGAGTGAAGGGGCAGTCGGCAGCAGGTACGGCATTGTCGTTCTCGTACACGAGCACAGACTCTACTGCATGTCCGGCCTTGGCACACAGGTCGAGGGCCGTATCCGCGATCCTCTTGAGCTCGATGTGCTTGGGGCCTCTCATGACACCGCTGGCAGTGAGGAGGACCTGAGTACGACACATGATGGGACGAGATGCCGTACTGGCAGCCGAAAAAACACGAGACGGGACGTGCATCTGTCGGTGGCTTTCTTAAGCTCCACAACAACCCCACCAATACCGGCCACCTAGGGCCCCCGTGAACCCTGCAGGGAATCGGCCGCCCAGGCATGCAGATCCTAACTCCCAACAATCCCGCCAACCGACCCAACCGACCCAACCAACCCAACCAACCCACCTTGGCCTTGCAGTCCTCCATACGACCAGCCAGCGCCTCAGCGCTGAATCCGCCAAATACGACACTGTGTACGGCACCGATACGAGCACATGCCAGCATAGCCAGTGGCAGCTCCAGCAGCATGGGCATGTAGATGGCCACGGCATCGCCTTTCCTGACGCCGGCGCCGCGAAGCCAGTTAGCCTGCGCGCGTGTGCGGTTAATGGGGGAATGTATGTGTGTGTGCGTGCGTGTGTGGAGCTGCAGAGTGTTGACCTGAACTTGTTTGAGCTTGTGAAATGATATGGGGGAGTGCGTGTGCCCAAGCTAGCGTGTATTCGGTTTGTGTACAGGTTGGGAGTACGCAAAGGATGATTTTATGGAGAGTGATAATCCACACGTATACATGTAATACATACAAACATACATACACAAAAGTAATGCGGTGCATGTGAAAAGGTCCCCCATGCTCCGACCCGCCATCCGCCTTCGCCCCCCGCCCACTCACCCACCCTCCCCCACTCACCCCCCCACCCTCCCCCAGCTTCCCCTCGCCGCTCACCAGCCGGCAGACCTCTTCCAGCGCCTCGCCGTACGTCATGACCTTCTCACGACCCACATCATTGCCCTCCCAAATGAAGCACACGTCATCCCCACGACCTGCCGCCACGTGGCGGTCCAGGCAGTTGTACGAGATGTTGGTGGTGGCGCCGCGAAACCACTCAACCGAAATTGGCCCATTCCGTACGTCAAAGTTGTACCGCATGTGGTTAGGCTCCCACTGCGAAAAGGCAGGTGGTGCCGTTTCAGAAATGAGTGGTTGTGGTGGTTGTGGCGGTTACGATGTGGGTCGTTGCAGGTGGTTGGTTGGATGATAAGGCTCGGAAAGCAGGGCCGGGAGGAAAACTGTGAAACTTGCTCAGGTTGCCAACGGCCAACCAACTTCGCTAACGGTATTAAACAGCAAGCGAATCAGAGACACGGACACGTGTGCTGCCGCACACATAATGGCGTTCCCTTCCCTTTTCTTGCTTCGTTGGCTTTTCGCTTTGCTTTCTCACAAATCGTTACACACAGATACTGCTTGCGCTCTGTCTTGGCCTGTTCAACCCTACACGCCTAGTCCAAATAAACATGCATTAGGACATATGTACAGGCAAACAGGACCGTGCATGCCACTGGAATGCGGGGAAAGAAGGGCCTTCCTTTTGGCACTTCCTTTCGGATCCCGTGGGTTGGTTAGCGCACCTTCGTCTGCCAATGGAACTGCTCGGCAATTTCGCTCCAGAAGCCTGACGGATCTTCAATGCTCCGCTTGTACAGCACCATGTACTGCAACCGCGCAGCGCGTACGAATTGTGTCGTATAGGAGGACGACCATTCGTGTGTTCAAGTGTATGTATGCATATATGTATGTATGTGTATGTCGAGTGGGAAGACCAATACAGAGGATGCACAGGGCGCGCGGGAGTAGAATTGGGATGCGGTTAATGGACAGCACCGCGTCAGGCAGCATCCATGCAGTGTTCATGTGCGAGAATAGGAAGTGTCTTGGTGCACCGCAGTATGACAGCCCGAACCCAAATGGATAAATTTTGATACCTTTATTAATGTGGAGGTCAAGGGAATTCTCAATATGAGAAGCGGGTTACCTGCTCCTTATCAGTAACGAAATTGGAGTTTAAAAACGCCGCCGTCTGCGCCGGTGCTTCGGGTGCAGCAACATTGCAGCGAGTTACCTGCAGCATGAAACTGCAGTTGCCTCGGATTCGTGGCAAGTTACGATTGCGAATTGCCCTTCCGTCAAAACTAACGGTAGTATGGGCACGAGCTATGTGGCGCCTCACAGCTGCCTCACCTTTTGCTTTCTGCAAAAGTGGCGCTGCGGCACATGCTGAGATGGAGCGCAGCCTGCAGTCGTGGAAGCGACAGATGTTCTGGACTCCGCACCGCGCGTTAGAACCCCCACGAGGCCATAAGACTGAAGGCGTACCCCATCCAGCCCGGCGCTGTTGCTGCTGATATTGGAATGCTTTGGGCAACTGCATCTTTTGGCAACGAGCAGCTCAACCGTTGGGCCTTCTACTTGCAGAACGGGGCGGCGTCGCTAACGAGGTACAAGACCTCTGCCTGTCAAAAGTACAAGATGCCCAACCAAGCGGTAGCAAAGAAGTAGGCCGTAATGTGTAGACAAAAAGGTCGCCGTGTCATAGGTCCATTACGAAGTGGCGTGGATTACTGTGGTACATTGCCAAACAGCGATAAGATAATGATAAACGCCAACGTTTTAAGAACACGAATAGAATTGCAAAATCTTTGCAGCGCGCCTTATTATAAATCACATCTGCGCTGTGTTGAGTTCCGGAATTTCTCCTGCCTGCCAACAATACAACACTCATATGTCGCTGCAATCCTTCAGTCGCGTCTCTATGAGCTCAATACACTGTCCGACAGTCTTGCCCTGGCGCATGGCGACAGCCAGCTCGTCGTGGAGCTGTGCATGGCGTCGCAGCATGCTTGCGCAGTTCAGCACAGCCCATCTAACCTCTCCGTCGGCCTTCTTCTGCGTGAACTGCGGACCCAATCGGGAAAAAGGCAGCACGCACAGTTTGCCGTCAGGTTGTTGACAAAGTGCAACTGGGCGATTCAAGTACATGGATGCAACAAGGGACTGGGGATTCCACAAACCCTTGATCATAATTCGTCGGGTGCGCCCAACTGCGATACCTCTGTGACACTCAGATAGATACACTGCCCTCTCCGCATCACAAGACATTTCGTCTTCCAAAAAACAAACCCCACCTGTTGCATGGGTACCCATTCTTACAGATGGCAACAATACCCAACCCAGGATACCTGCGCTTACATCCTAACCGATCCGGTTATCCTGTCTCATACAGCCTGTTCAGGCAGCGGCTCCGGAACAAACGCCGAACAATTCTTTTACCCATTGCGGACCCCTGGCAGCTCCACACACCCAATTACGCAGACGCACACGCGCCTCTCCTCCCCAAGGATTCCCCGGCCCCGTCCACTCACTTGCAGTGCCCGGAACATGGCATCCAGCTGCTGCACATCTCCCAGTCCCCCCTCCGCCACCCCGAATCTTAGGTACTCAGTCACAACACCCGCCAGGGCCACACAGGTGTACCTAGCAGGGTTACGGAGCACGCCGTACGAAAAACAGGAAAATTTAACGACCGGCGAGACCAGGACGTGAACGCAAAAAGCGACGAAGTGTGTGTGTGTAGGGGGGAGGATCTCTGGTCAGTTGGATGGCGGGAGGGTGGGAAGGAAGCTAGGAGGGGGAGAGGGAAGGAGGGATACCGGCAGGAGGAGCCGCCAAGACGACAGTACCGGAAAGGCGGCAGTACTGGTACCGAAAACAGTGCTGGTGGAAGTAAAATGGCAACAAGGGGCCCAAGGCCTCAACAGTAACAGTCTCGTACTCCAACTCCGGTGCTGCTACGACCCTCTCGAACTCCCCTTCCCGATGGCACTTTCATGGATTGTGGGTTTACTCCCCTAACCGCCCCCACTAGTTTCTCCCAACTCGCGATTTCTCTTTTTTACAGGGTATTTCCTCGACTAAATACCACTAAAAGTTTATTTCCCCAACCACGCGCCGCGAACCCGGCGCCCACCTGTCCAAGCTGCTCGACTTGAGTCGGCCCGTCGCCACCTCCGCCGCGAACTCCCCATCACAGAACCGGGTGCCCGCCTGGATGTTGAGAGCCCGGTACCTGCAGCATAACCCCAAGTTAACACAGCCGGACATACTCATACACCACACCGGGCAAAACACCACACATCGATATCATCAAGAGTGGAAAGAAAAAGGCTATTAAAAAAAACTAGCTCATAGGCTCGTTTGCTTCCGCCTCCCGAGGCCCTCAGCCCAACGGCGCCTCCTCTCCACATCGTAAACGCCCATAGGGGCCCCCTAGCTAGCCCTAGTCGCAACCTCTCCCCTTTCATTCTTCCCCCCCAACACCGCACACGCCGGCAGTTGTTTTCCCGAACTTCGGGTTTTAGGGTTTTTTTCCCTGCACCCCCACATACGCACGCACACGCACATATTCACCTTAGGAAGGCATCCATGGAGCTCAGTGTGTATGCCCTGGGCATCAGGCCCACCAGGTACGCCACCAGCAGGTGCCCCGCCTCGTGATACGCAACTCGGGCGGCATAGGAGGGCCGCAGCAACCGGCCCAGGGAGTCGACCAGCAGGGCTTCGCCTCCGCCGCCGTTCGCGACCTTGGGGTGGGTTGGAGGTTGAAGGGACGGGCGAGGTGAAAGGAATTATATGATGAAAGGAATATGTTAAGGAGAAGGAGCACAGTCGTCAATCAGTTGCCGACATGCCCAAAACATACCACCTTCGGTGGGTCAAGGAAGGGGGTTGTACCGGAGGGGCGAATGCGCCTCCGCCTCCACCGCAGCAATAGCAACGGCAATGACTTCTGCGATGCTGTACGCGCACAACAGTGCCGTGATGTCAGCATGGTCGTACAGCTTACCTGGTCCGCCATGAGTACGAACACGACGCCGAACAGCGCCGCCAGGACGCCGCCGCCGTCCCAATGGTTGGCCCAGGCAGCGGCCGCAAGGCCCAGCGCTGCCGCGACTTGCGCCTGGGTACGTACGGCATTTAGTGACGTGTCCTACAGGCCATATACAAATGAGCGGGCATGTAAGCGCTTAGGTTAAGAATTAAAGAATATCTAACATTGAACTGTTAAAACTGTAAAGTGCAGTCGCACACATAAGCCGTTGTCTGGCGGCAGCCCAAGCAGCGACCGCTATTGTACGGCAACTGTGGTACAACCTTACGGTGCTAACTCTTAGCAACTACCTTCGGGCTCAGCAGCTTCTCCGTTTCCACACGGTTTAATCGTAGCTCCTCAATAGAATATAGTCGCTTAGGCACCTGTCGTACGGCTCCGAAACCCCGCAGCAACCCCAGCTCCCGGCCCCGGGCTGCCATAGCCACCGCCGCGGCTTCTGCACGGCGCGACTCTGTGCCTCCATCCGCCGCAGTCGCCGCTGTATGCAGTAGCTCGTCCAACCGTCGTACCAGCATCGCTAGGTCGGGCGGGTCATCAGGCCCACGCGCCAGGGCGGCAGCGCTCGCCTGTTCAGGTCTGTTGCTGCTGCTGCTGCTGCTGCTGCTGCTTTCTGTGTCAGTAAAGGCCTTGGGGATGTGAGAAGGGGTGGGGACACGAGGGGCTGGGAGTCAGGGGCGTTACGAAGGAGGAGGCGCACGAGCGGACGGCATACAGGACCAGCCGCTGGGAAGGGCGCGGCAATTCCAGGTCTAAAAGGCGAGAATGAGTATGAGCCTTTGAGCACTCGCGCGCGCAGCGGAGTCTGACGGGATTCGCAACTGAACGGATAAAACGTGACCGTGCGCACAAAAGTTTAGCCTTGGAGAACAAAATGCATTGGAGGTTTGACTTAAATGAAGCTGTTCCAGCAAGCGTGATAACCAACCTGCGTTGATAGTTTGCTTGAACATCTCAAAGGTCCCGTCACAGAATGCTTAGGAAGGAACTGTAGAGGAGATACTTTATGGACAACCACTTCGGTACCGTGCCACTGCCAAGCTACTGCACGCGACTGCTGCCTGGTAGTAAACATGCTACGATGTAGCACATCTGCCATTTATGAGCTGTGGGGTTAGATTCACATCATCGCTGATGACAACTTCTACGATAGAGAAGATGTTTTTAACGCTCAGCGTTTCAGGGTGCCTTTGCTGGTTGGTTCTGTTGTTGTTGGTTCCAACCATGTACGGACAACCATCTTTCCTGCCCATCAAGGTGTCAAACCCTGCACTGTAGAGTGTAATATACATAGTTTATGAGGTGAGACTGAGCATCGTCGCCATGCATTGACTTTCAAAGGCAAGTGGCGCTGTGGCGGCCAAATTGATCCCGGTGTTTGAGCAAGCCGGTTATTAAGCTTGCTGAACTGCTCACAACTGAACATTTTAAAAAAATCAAGGAAACCCCATCAAATTACTCCCCATCACAGTTCCAGCCCTACGCGGCTGGGGCTTGAGGCAGCATTCCGGGCTGGACGCAAGGAAAGGAGCGCTTTTGAAACTAGTTTGGCAGTGGAAAGGTAATGGCAGATTTATTTGCCTCTTGCCTGCATCACTTGTGTGCGGGCTGGCGGTCCTAACGTTCCCGTTGCCTGTTGACGCGCAGATGTCATACCTGCTGCCCCACTTGCATAGTGGGTATGCAGTGGACCAAGCAATCCTTGCAGAAGAGGATCGTGTCGTGATTATCCGCTTTGGACATGATTGGGAGCCCAACTGCATGCAGATGGACGAGGTCCTTGCTTCAGTCTCTGACCAGATCAAGAACTTTGCGGTAATCTATTTGGTTGACATTACTGAGGTCCCAGACTTCAACACCATGTACGAGCTCTACGATCCGTGCACAATTATGTTCTTCTTCAGGAACAAGCACATCATGATTGACTTGGGCACGGGTAATAACAACAAGATTAACTGGGCGATGACTGATAAGCAGGAATTCATCGACATAGTGGAAGTGGTGTACAGGGGGGCGCGAAAGGGGCGTGGTCTGGTGGTGTCACCAAAGGACTACTCTACTAAGTACCGGTATTAACTGTTTACGTTTGTTGACTTTGGGAGGAGCCAAGACGCATATGCGCGCAGCTGCGAGGACGGTCTGGTTTCGATGGGGGGACGGTGGAGTGTCGACGGGTGGGCAGGCCACGCACATATTCCGATGATATGTGCAATGCATCCATGGGAAGTGTGCACCTTCCTTCCTTGGGATGCCAGCCGCGAGTAGGGTTGCTCCATACTTCAACGATAACTCGGGCGACCGATTAATGTGGTGTCAGTTGTCTGGCGTAGCTGATTAGTGTGGCCTGTTACTTCAGTAGCGCTTCGTCACATTTTTTAAAATCTACAAAAGCGATAGGTCATGGATGCTCTCTCTTTGGGTTACCTACACTTGTCATGGTGGGGAGGGTGTCATATAGAGTCGCAGATGGATACGAACGTCAGCGTCGGTACTCTGAACGCCGCCGTATCTTATAGAGCAGGAGACGAAATCACGGGATTATTGTGGAGGCCATGTGTCGCCTCTGTTACGTAAGCCAGCTATCAACACCTGCCCTCATTGGCATGGATGGTGTGAGTGTCGCCTTGGGAGTGTACGGTGCACGCCTTTCCAGTACAGGGTTGACGCGATTCGGCAGCTCCCAGGTTAGGCTAACGGAGGATTGCTGCCACGAGGTTACGCTGCCGATGTGGCCTGCCATAAATTTCGGTTTCCCGCTACATTGCCGTTTTTTTGAGGACTACGACGGTAGCGACATGAAAATGCAACTTGCCAGTGCCACAGAATTGCACCGCATGCCCGTCCGTGCCGCGGCATTCCTGCGTATGCCCGGCGGACATTGGCTCGACGCCCTGATGCAGCAGGCTGTTGAGCTGCAACTGTTCCTTTGTTTATGCGGCGCCTTGGCAAAAAACACTTGACTGCTACACAGGCAAACCATTGAGCAGGATTGCTCTTCAGCATCCTCAAGCCGCAGCGCTGACCCTGCAACGCCGCTTATGCAAACCAATTTGTATTTAATCCAGGCCCAAGAAAAGGACGGGCAATTCACGGAAGAGATGCAACCCACACAGACTAATAATAGGTCAGGGCGTCTTGCTGCGCGTGGCAACGTTGCCGCATGGACCCCTGGGCCATAGACGCAACGCGTCAGATTTCCGTTGACTCCATTACTTATACCGATTTAATAAACCCGTTCCACCATTTTGATATCTCCACATGCTGCTAACTGAAGGCCTCGCGTGGAGACGTTGATTTAGGCAAGCACATCTGCTCTGTGAAGATATCAGAGCCCCAAGTAGTCAGCCTTTGATTTATTTAAATTTGGGTTGCCTTACGGATTACACACGCGCTTCTGCTGCCAAAGTAGTTGGCCTGTTTCCCTAAATCCCTCCTAAGGGCTTTCTTCTTCAGGTTTCTTCTTTCAACGAGATGACCTAGACCTATGTTTGTCACTACAGTTCCTTTTGGGGGTTCCCGCGAGGCTTTGTGCTTTTTGCCCCATTCCGTCTTTTGCAGTGCACGACGCCCTTTCAGACTTGTTGAGCGATTTGCAAACACTATTACTTTTATACTCTTCAACTGTTCATGCCACAGCTGAACACATACGTAGAGTCGCGTGTCTCGTGTGATCTTCTTCGCGTGTTGCGGTTGCTTGGGTGCCAAGCGGCAAAACTCCTGCCTGTTTAGCAGAGTTACCAAAGCAAACTGTAGTATTAGTCGAGCGGCTAGCTCAACAGCTCCTGGCGGAGAGCTCCAGCTGTGGAAAAATGGTGGTGGGCCAGTGAGGCGTGAGGCGGGAGTTACGCAAGAGCAGGCCAAGCAGCATGTCCAGCATTGCCTCTTCTTCAGCCTGTTTGGAATGGCAGTTCCTGCAGTGCTTCGGAGAGCGGACGCCTGGGGAGGACATCCAGGAGGGTGGGTGATATGTGGCCGGCTTTGTCGTTGATGCGTTGCTTTTATGCGCTTCCCTGCTGAATGCCTTCTATGGTACGCAAACGACAGCTTCAGCCCCGGGAATCTTGATACGTTGCCTGAGAATTTGCACGTTGGCTTCCTGCCCCCAGCCGACATCATTTCAGCGGTCGAGTTCGATTATGATGGCCTACACCTTGCTACGGGCGACCGTGGAGGCCGTGTTGTCCTGTTTGAAAGGGTCAACCCGCATGTGGTGGGTCGGGATGGGGCGAGTTCTCTGGTGCCTGCACACATGTGCGAGCAATCTCTTGTGTCCCGTGTGCAGAGGACAGTGGGCATGGATGCACGAGCTCCACCTCCTCTTCCACGTGGGGCATCTTTTGAGTATCGCTACATGACAGAGTTCCAGTCTCACGAGCCGGAGTTCGACTACCTTAAATCTCTCGAAATCGAGGAGAAAATTAACAAAGTCAGGTGGTGCCGCAGCTCCAACAACACGCGAATGTTGCTATCTACAAACGACAAAACTGTGAAGCTTTGGAAGGTGGGTCCTGCCCCTGAGTTGAAGGGTGCAAGTCTGGGCATGCAGACATAAGGTTTCTCTCCCTGCAGGTATATGAGAAAAAGGTTTCGTGCTTGTCCAACTTCAATTTGGAAGGACGCAACAACGCGGCTACGGGGTCGCCTCGCCCGAACGCTCTGGCCAATAGCCCAGTGTCGTTGCGCCTAACGCAGCCGCTCCGACTCCCGCGGGTGCGTCCTTTTGGTAGATCGGCTTTGGCGCTATATCCTGATTCTCTTCCTTTTTGCTGTAGGTCACTAGCACTGAGGTGCTTCTTGCTGCCCGCTGCAAGCGCGTATTCGCCAACGCGCATACATATCACATTAACTCGATCTCGGTCAATAGCGACCAGCAGACGTTTTTGTCAGCGGACGACCTAAGAATAAACCTTTGGAACCTGGAAATTACGGAACAAAGCTTCAACATTGTGGACATAAAGCCGGCGAATATGGAGGACCTGACGGAGGTGCGGATGGCGGGGAACGTCCCAGTTCTAACACGTGTAGCAGTGGCCGACTGTAAAAGTGTGCTTGCAGGTGATTACGTCTGCGGAGTTCCACCCGCAGCATTGCAATGTGTTTGCGTACAGCAGCTCTAAAGGGTGCATCCGGTTGGCGGACATGCGGAACGCAGCGCTGTGTGACCGCCACACAAAAGCCTTTGAGGAGCAGGAGTCTCAGGTTGGCACTGCTTTTTTGGCACTGGAGAAGCCTTGGGTTCTGCACTGACTAGGACGCTCGTACCTGGCGCAGGCGAACAAGTCGTTCTTCTCGGAGATTATCGCCAGCATCTCGGACATTACTTTTAGCCGCGATGGGCGATACATTCTAAGCAGGGACTACATGACATTGAAGCTCTGGGATCTGGCGAAGGAGAACGCCCCCGTTGCAACATACAACGTGCATGAACACCTGCGGGCACGGGTAAGCCTTGAGTGCTTTGCAAGTGCAAATACGCGTTAGTGACCATTGGCGATTGGTCTTGCTTTCGTTTAAATGCCTGCTGAGGCTAGCGATATTCGTTCGGTACTGCAGTTATGCGACCTGTACGAGAATGACTCAATCTTTGACAAGTTCGATTGCTGCATGAGCGGGCGTGGGGACGCCATTGCGACGGGATCATACAACAACCTCTTCCGTGTATTTGGGGCATGGAACGGCACGGACCTGACGCTAGAGGCGTCACGTGACCCCATGCGCAAGCGCTTACAGCAGCCAGCAAAGGTGAGCCTTTACACGGGAAGGGCTAACATGAACCCGTGAACTTACTCTTTGCGGTAGAAACATTGCATTTCGACTCTGGAATGGCATTAGACTGTACATTGCATAATGTGGTGGAGATTATGGCGCTACTGTGCCACCTGCCGCATTTGTCCTGTAGAAATGTCATACTGGCATACGGTCATCGGTTCACAGCCATTACTCTCTTGATCTTACATAGCGCCTGCTTCCTTGGGCACGCTTTGCATAGACAAATCGCTTCGCCATCCGGAACAAGAATGGTCCCAGCAAGGGTGGACGCACAAACGAGCAGTCAGAGTCCGGCACGGACTACGCATCCAAGCTTCTGCATCTTGCTTGGCATCCGGAGGCGAATGTGGTTGCCGCGGCAGCCTCGAACTCTCTCTACATGTATTGCGCCTGATCACAATCTTAGCCTTGCGTAACCCTGGCGTGGTGTCAGTGGTCGCCAAGGATTCCTTGGGCTTCCGAAGGAGGTCGGCTTGGATGACAGCTGTGCGTCGTCACATCGCGCCAACAGCGCCGGTGCAACAGCTGGGAGAAAGGGTGGCTGACGTCAACCCGTCAGTCTTGGGTGTACATACCTGGTGTGTGTGATGCTTATCCCATACGCACCGGGCCCTGGTTATATGCGTGCGCTATACACAATGTCCGCGACCTGAAGGGTGCCGGCTGGCCTGTGCCGGCGCCATCAATTTGGCGCTGTGGCCCTTGAACATTTGACCATGTATGACTAATCATCCCGTACACATACGCCTTTAGCACTGAACTGCATGGACTTGGTTCGCTGGTGGAAGTGAACCTGCATGTCGGTGGTGCATGGGGTCTACGAGCGAGCGTGCGCCTGGGATGGGAATGTCCCGGGTATCGGGGGCGGGGGTAAGTTGGGTCGTGTGTATCTTAGGGGCGGCCTACATGCCGGCGTTATTGTGGGTAGGACACTGGTGAAGCGCAGTGCTATGTGCAGTCTCCGTCTATAGGCGTACATGAAGTCTGATAGGTACAGGTCGTCGAGGTGAATGTGGGACTTGCGGCGATTCATCCATTCACTCTCGCCAGGCGCCAGTCCTGAGATGTAAGGACGGCCTTTGGTAGCGCGCGGCATGGGTTTACTTGACTTGCTTTTGGGTAAGCTTTCCCCCAACATGATGAACATAAGTGTGCTTAAGAATGACTCCAGGTGATCTGGATAGTGGCACGGATTGACCCCGTCGGGCTCTGTTCATGTGCGGCGGACTGGCGTCGTTGCAGATTACCTGTTTGCAACGAGCACTGAACTCCGTTACATCGCGATGACGCCAGTGGTGCTTCTTGTGATTTACTTTGTTTTGGCCGCGGTGCTATGTGCTTTCGGCAACATGCCACCAGCAACCGGGAGTATGTCCCATGCTGGTTTGCTGACTGCATCCCTTGACCACATAATGAGCTCACGGATGATGCCAAGTGCTGACTCTCCCAACGTCAGAGGCTGTGGGTCTGTACCGTTTCGAACGCGTGCGAATGTTCCGATTGTGTGCCTATCGAATGTGCGCTGAATGGCCTACCTTTGCTCCATGTCTTGTGGTCCGGGCGTCAGCTGGATGCAAGCGTATAGATCTGGAGCGAGTTGGTACCGCATTTATGGCGCTCCCCAAGGCACGTTACATTTGAAGTGGCCCCTTCTCCAATAACCAAAGGATCACCGGGAATAGAGTTTGCCACTGCAACTGGATGGGACTGCTATTGCGAACTTTTATTGGCATTGTCCTGGCTGCGGATCGAACATTAAGGACCCAGCTGGCAATCCTGCCTGCAACACTTGGCTTAGTTGCCAGTGGCGATGTCTGCGAAGGCAATGAACGTTATCCCCTGGGGCCCCAGCGAGGAAGCGGGGTGGGGAGGTTGTAACCGGAAGCATCGTACCAGCAACCTGTTGTGACAGGAAAGTGACTCACGTACGGCAGGTAATCAATCAACCCTCAATCTGGTAATAACTACGAAATACACATTATTATTATCAGCAAGAAAACAGTTAGGTCGGCAGCATGGCGGGAGAGGTTGAGGTTCGCGGCTTTGCCATGATGCTTGCATCTAAAGTTCTATACGGTAGGACAACCAGAGATAACATACGTTCAAGGATTTGAGATATACGTATGCCATGTCGAACGCTATCGCGATAATTCTGCAGCGGCATACCTCTGCTGGCTTTTCATTCCCGAAAGGCTTCTCCACAGCATTGGAATTACTTATTATCCATCAAAGTACGCATGTATGGGATTCGCGCCATCACACGTACTTTGCGAATTGACAGCACGTAACAACGTGGCACTCTCGTGTCGTGCAGATATTGGGCCGTCGCTGGCCCTGCATGGCTCACTATAGCTGTCGTGTGGGGACTCTGGCTGTACGAAGGGTGCGTGCTGCAGCCTACGGAAAAGATTAGCGGTGGCACCGACGGGGAGTTCCGGCCAATGTGCGGGCCGTTTGGTCGTTGGTCTACTGGCAAATCGAGCATCCTGTGTCCAGTTCACGATGACTACCTTGCAATGCCTTGTCTGTCGATGACCATTCAACGTAGCTAACGTCGACGCAGGCTCAACATGGTTACGGTGCCCGACATCTCCGATCGTCGGCAACTGGAAGGTATCCGTCGATATGCACCAAGGCGACGGGGGAAATCGCTCGACATGAAATCCGGCCAACTTGCGAAGGAGGATTTCGATCGCCTTACGGCCCATCACCAGCAAATGGGTAGACATCAGACTTTCATCAATGCACTCACATGCACTTATACTGCAGTAACAAGTCCAAACATGGAAGGATAGGAAACAATGAAGATTGCACGTTGCCACGTCTGCGTCCTCCTGTTTCGCTCGCAGACGAGAAATGCAAGCCGCCGGAACGCGTCGGCCTGAAGGGGTTCCAACACTCCACCGCCAAATCTGTTCCGCCGCTTTGCCATATTCCTGCCAGCCACGTCACTCGGAGGCTATTTGGACACAGCCATTGCGACGACGATTAAAGCAGCCACCGACAGCTGGCTACTATTCGGGCGCTCCTGATTGCGTATATCAAGACCTCCACACATGCAGCGCACGCTGCTGTGTGTGCCCGAACACGAAAAGCAGAGACGCACCCAATATATGGCGCCCTCCGCGCGGCCCCTCAACCCCATGCAGACACATCCTCCGGCACCCTCACATCCTCCTCTCAACACGGAAGATGCCAGGCGTGTGCCCGTGCACGGCGCCCTGTAACACATACCAGTTCAAGAGGTCTAGAATTCTCTCGCACTTCAGTCCCCGCTGCATCATGTATCTTAGCAAAAGCGTAAAGCACATACATATGGTATGAACAATAGCGCACCAACGCCAAACCAACGCAACCCGGCCTGTAGTCTCTGGTCCGGCTGATGCTGCCTGTGATATGATACACACCGCATCGGTGCATATATGTACATGGCCAGAGTGCATTGCATCAGTTCGCAGTTCCCCGCCTACGCTTATCGCTGCTGCTATATTGGAATCAATCTCTTCTTAGAACCTCACTCTGTGCGCGCTCGCACACAGCTCCCCCCTCCTGCTACCCAAGAAGTCAGTCACAGTCCTACCCTACCGTGCAGCTTCAAGCCGACATCGCAACCTGAGGAGCTTTCACCGCTTCTCTGCCTGTATAAATATGTACCGTCATGTGCGTATGGCGTGGTCGCGGGTTTCCAACCGCCTCACCAGCCGTTTATAGATATACCCCGCCTAAGCTCCCCCGCGCTAGTACTGATAGACAAAGCAAGCCTTATGTAAGGCTCACAGAGCGTACAGAGGTCGAACAAGATCCAAAAACCGCTTGCGGTCCTCCACTTCACCCACGTTGCCTTTCTCTTAACTACACCTTCCTCACGAGCTGTTTACACCTGCGTTTCATGCCGGCACGATCCCTGCGTTCCAGTTATATCCCGACCTGCCACATGTTAGGACTCCGTAAGCGAGTGAGTGGCAATGTGGACTACGCACATTGCACGTCTCTCCACCCTTTGCCCCTCGCGTTCATTACCTCTGGCCTCCTACACCGAACCGCGGCCAGTTGAGCTTCACATTATTTTTGTAACGCCCACCGCTCCTGCAGCTGATACAGCAGCACCTGTCGCTGCTACTGCAACCAACCAACCAACCAACGAGCCATCAGGAATGCATCTAAACAACACGGAAAGCCCCAAGCGAACAATCTCGCCTTGGCAGGCAGACATGAACGCCGCACAATTCAGTACCATGAAATCTGGTCAATGACAATCGGCGGGAGCACTACCATACCACGCATTGCTCATCCCATCCCCCAGTAATGCGTGCAAGAGGAATCTCCTAAATGCCCTGGCGCCCGCTCCTTTTCCTACTTTTTCCAATTGAGCAATTGCGGCGACGCAAACATGCACCCTGCAGAGCTGCTGCTGGCGTTGGCGAGGCCGTTAGCTCGCACCGCCTCCATCCGTCCACTCCATCATCCTCCCCTCCGCGATAATGGGCCGCGAATTGCCGTTGTCCATTATCTTTCTGACGCTGAAAGATTGCACACAGGATGATAACGAAACTCACTGTTGCTTCAGTCAGGCACATTTGAACTCACTCCTCCACCCGACCCTTCCCCATGGTAAAATAACCCTTCTCTCCGGCAATGTCGGGCCCGGCGTTCCCAAATGGTTGTTGCTGCAGTTGTTGTTGTTATTGTTATTGTTTCCATATGTACCAGGTGGCTAGTGGCGGATGGCTGCTGCTTCACGCCCCATGCACACCCAAGACTCCGACGCAGTCAGAGCAAGCAAAACAAGCAGAACACAGGGCGCCACCGGCGGACTGCGCACTTTCAATGAATAACGTGCAAAAGACACGTCACTTTGAAAATCCTTAGACGGACAGGCTAGATAGGTTGATGCACACGATACATAACACAGGGTCTGAGGATGCCCTCCCGATGGGTCGTACAGCGCGAAAAGCTGTCACACAGCTGCGCTTGGCAAAGTCCATCAGCACCAGTATCACTCAACCCTCCAGCGTTTTCCCCGGCAGCGTGTTGTACATTCCCCCCACTCTTTCCAGGGCCGCACATAGGGGCGTGCGCGTGTCCCCTCGTTAGCCGCCTACTGCGCCTCCACCGCTTCTTGTTGCAGCAGCTCCGCCCTGCCGAGCGGAATGTAAACCCAGGCGAACGCCAAGGGGCTGTTTACTGACGGGGTACGGCACCGACCCACCGTCGTAGCGCAACTGCGGCAAGCCGCCTTCCTCCACTCGGCTACTGCGACCGGGACTCACGATGGGGGGAGAGGCCGTGCCGGTGACACCGAGTGTAGGCGACCCGAGCCGCATATTGGAAGCGGAACGACGCAACCCTGGCACTGCCACACAGCCCAACGGCGGTGCACCGCTAACGGAGTCACGCATGGTGGGCACTATTCCATGGGTCGTGTGGGCGATGCCGCCGGTGGTCATGCCGCCTCCAGCACCACCTCCACCGCCGCCAACACCACAGCCGGTGAGGCTACTACCCATGAGAGCGCCAGACAAGCTCCGAGAAAAGCCGCCGGCACCGGGTGGTAGCCGAATCGTCGACTGGTGCACGAACCGCAAGTCGAGGAGCTGTGGCGTGTCCATCAGCTGCCGGTGGGAGGGCGAGTTGGCGTAATGGCTGTAAGGCCGGCTGCTGCTCGGGCCGGCGCTGCCCGGGGCAAAAGCGGCGTGTGTAGGCGACGGGCTGCTACGCGGCAGAGGCCCACTGGTGCTCAACGGCAATTGCTGTTGCAAAGCCGCGGCCTTGGCCGCCAGGGCATTGACGATGCGTCGTTCGTCAGAGCCCAACGTGTTCAACAGGGACTTATTGACGTCAAGCTGGCCGAGGCGGCGTGCGCCGGAGGGGCGGCCACTGGCGGTGCGGGCGCCAGAGGGAAGCATGCCGCTGACGCTGGTGGTAATTATGCCGCTGCCGCTGCCTGTTCCCGTGTCGCTGGCCTTGGCGCGCAGCGCTTCCATCTCAGCGGCCTTGGTTGCCTGAAGGGCCTCTAGATTGGCCTTATCCGAAATCTGCTGGATCTGAGCTTGGACTTCCTTATGACCGTTGATGATACCCTCCATTAGGCGCTTGCGACGGTAGGCGGTTGCCATTAGGCCGAACGGCACCTGCGGTTACCGTTAGAAGTTGTTAATCTCGTTTAGGTAACGAGATTGTTTGGAATTTCCAAATTGGAAACGGTAGAACAGGTAGAGGAAACAGGACAAAACCGTGAAAGCTTCGGTCCTTTCGCGGCTTTTGTGGCATATTTGGTGTTTGTTGGGAAGGAAACGTGGTGATGGCAGAATGCAGGAGGAGTTGAGGTGATTGTGGTTGGTTATAACCGAATGAATACACGAAACCCACAACGCGCGGTGCGAACCTAGGATTGATTGCTGCATATGTTGGATGTGGTTTACGATGTCGTAGGTTGGCAATTCGCGGAAGTGCATATGCACAATCATTCCCAACGCAAACGAGTCGAGAGCGTACCATTCCCTGCTTGTGTTCAGAAGGTCCGCACTTCTCCTGGCCCTCGTTCTTGTCACCGTCATCCTCTTCCGCAAGGCGCTGTAGAGTGACAGTCATAATTTCCAGGAATTCTGGATATTCAACCTCGCCGCTGCCATCATGGTCCACTTCTGCCAGCAGCTGCGCAAGCTCCGCCCGCTTCATTTTAATACCTGCACGTTCCACAGACCGGCAAGTGGCCGTAAGCAACTAAAGACAAGGCTTTTCCGATGCTCCCCTAGCCCAACTGTAGGCGCGGGGCCCCTCCCCCTCGAACCGCCTGTGCCCGCCATGCGCAGCAGCGTCCCCAACACCTATTCTCAGGTTACTGCGAGCGCAATACAAGTTTGTTGCTCTAATAGATAAGGGTTATGCGCAAACCCAAATGCGACAGAAAGATTGTAACCCTTCAAGTGTCTTGCTATTTGGCAATAACACGCAAACGACTCAGAGTTAAGCACCGCTGCGAAGCGATAAAACAGTAATAGTGAGAGGCAGACGTTAAGGGAGACTGTCGCAAAAACTCTGGGCATACCTAGGAGCTTGAACGCAGCGGCCAACTCCTCTGCATCGATTGCGCCGGACCCGTCCTGGTCCATCAACTCGAAGCATTCCTTCATTTGCTGTTTTTGTTCGTCCGAAAGTTTGGGTTTGACACCCTGCAACTCAGATTCGTATGGGGCTGTTGAGCCGTTTGGGAACATCGCTGGGGTGGTAATACAGTCCGCGGCCCAGCCGTTAATCCCATACCACAGCTTGCCTTGCCATGTTTCCTTAGCCATAGTGAGACAGCTGTGTAGAGGTCCGCGTTAACCTGGAAGAGGTCCTTTTTTAAGGTCGGGTGCAGTTCCTGCGCTCCTGTTCCCGGAGAGGCCCGGGCTTCCGCAGAAGCCATTCCGCAGAGAAGTAAATTGTAAAGCTACATCATTTTTAGGGGGTCGATGTCGATAGCGGTCGACTACGCTTAGGTGAACGAAGGGGAAATACTTGCAGGCGACGTTCCACTGCACAGGGAAGACTTTTACGATTGAATTAAGGCTCAAAGACAGACGTTCCGATGTGAGCCGCTCCAAGTTCCACTCGCTGAAAGTTACGACCTGCATTCCGGTTTTCATGCAACCACATGGGGATACAGATGGAGGTCCCCGAGAACCACACATCGCCTGGTGAAAATCACAAAGTAAAATTGTTTTCTAAGCTTATGGAATTGAGCGCTCTCGTTCGAGAACTGTCAACTTTCGGAAGGCGCTGTCACACCCAGCACCAAACCTAAGCTCCAATCAAACAATCACGTTTTTGACCATTCGTCTTCTCCCTTGCTACGCTAGGGGTGCGCTCTATGGGGTCTTGGGCAGTCTTTCGGGCCGGTTGACCAGACTTGTGGACCGTAGCTTAAAGCGAGCCGGCCCATACATTTCATGATGAGGCCTACTGCTATCTTAAGCGATCTGCCGACTTGCTCTAGGCGAACGTCGGCAGGACTGCTGCGTTGTCATCAATGTCGTTCTGGGCGCCTCGCGCGCGTGGTGTCAGCCACAGCTCCGCCAAGCAGTCCCACAAGCTCCTCCGGTTCCATAACCCAAAGCGCTGTCCCATCCGACCCGGCTGGACAGCCTCGCGCCGGAACTATTCAGGTCACAATTCAACAATCATCAACTCTCATACAGAAGCCGCAAGCAGATGCCCCACCAGCGCCACCCCACTCACATTCAGCTTCCTCGTCATCAATACCAAACGCAGCTGCAACTCCAGCACATGCCCGCGCCTCTCCCAACAGCCCTAGCACCACGAGCTCAGACCCCTCGCGGGCGTCGAGCCCTTCCGTGACCCAGCCTCCCCCTATATCCGCATCCTCCGCGGCCCAAGCCGCGGCAACCTCCGTCGTCTTACCTGCCCCATCAACCCCACCAGCCGCGCCTGGTCCACCGCCACCGCAGCCCCCATCCGACTCGCGGGTTGCGCCCTCCGCAGCAACAGCTGCCTGGGGAGACGGGCAGACCGATATCAGCGACGGTAACCCTGCCGCACCGGGCAGTAGCAGTAGCAATGGCCGCAGCGCCGCGGCCGCAGCGGCACGCTCCCCTAGTCCTTCACCTTCATCAGCCCCTGCAGCTCCCTCCCCACCGGCTGGTAAAATGAACGGCAACAACAGCAGTCCCAAGCCGGCCTCGTCCTCGTCAGATCCACATCCCGGCGGTAGCAGCGCCGCGGCCGACACCGCCGCGGCACCTGCAACACCGGCAGGGCCTTGTATCGACTCCATCAGCGGAGGAGGAGATGCTGCAGCGGGTATTACTGCCGGGGTCACGATGATGACGGCGGCACCGCCAACACCGCAAACCATGTCGGCGACGCCAGATGCGCCGTCGCAATTAACAACAGCGGCTCCGCCAGACGTGCCGACCGCCGCCTCCGCAGCCGCAGCTGTAGCACCAACGGCTCCATCGAGCCCGGGGTCTACCCAACCGACTGGAGCGGGCATACCCGCTGCTGCCAACGCGGCGCCAGCGAGCAGCAGCAGCTCGCCGGCATCCCCCAGCCACTCGCAATCCGCAGCCACAGCCCCGTCGGTAACATCGCCGCAGTCGCCACCGCCGCCGCTTCAAGCCGCCGCTGCCCTGCAGGCCGTAGGGGGAGCCTCAGGTAGCGGGGCGGTCGTGTCGCCGGCGCCAGGAGCTGGGACCGGCCCCCCACCAGCACCACCGGGCTCCATGGGCGGTGGCGCCACCGCCGCCGCCACCGCCGCAACCCTGGCTGCTGCTCCCGCAGCCGCCAGCCCCCCCGCCGGGGGCCCAGTAGGGACAGCACCGCCTCCTTCCCCGCCCGCCGCCGCAGCAACGCCTCTGGCAGCGGCAGGAGCGCCCTCCACCTCCTCCCCCCCACCGCCGTCCTCCTCGGCCGCCGGACCCGGGCACGCCGCCCATGCCGCTCATGCCGCCGCTACGCATCACCCCCCAACCTCAACCTCGCCCCCTTCCTCCACGGCCGCCGTCAACGCCGCCACCATCAGCTCCGCCAGTTCGGGTTTCCAGCTGCGACCCATCCACGTGGTCATCTTCGCGGCCATCTTTTTGGGCGGCGCGCTGTTCGCGGCCCTGACGCTGCAGTTTACCGCGGATTTGGACTTCCAAGCGGCGGTTACGACGGTGGTACGGCGGGTGACGCGCAGTGTGGCCTTCCGGCAGCTGTGCGTTATTGCGGGTGCCATCTGCCTGGTGCGCTTCGGACTGAATAACGTGTTGCGGGCGTTGGCCAAGTTCTCGTCCAACCCGGTTCAGTGGGACAAGTCCAAGGTGAGGGCAGGCGGCTGGGCTGGCGGCTAGCGGATAGGCGAGGGGTTGAGGAGGCGTGGGTGCATGAAAATGGGGGTTAGGGGGTTGAGGAAAAGGGGATTCAGGGCGCTGTTGCTGTCGCTGATGTGCTCCTGGATGGCTTCTCCGGTTGTGGGGAGGCGGGCCGGCGGGCTCTTCCTTTGGCGCGCTTCCTCATGTTCATGTGTGTATGGGTGGGCGGCATCCTGAAACCCCCGAGTCCGTAACTTCTCATGGTAACTCCGGATGCCCGTCTCGGTAACTCTTGTTTCTCCTCTCGCTGTGCCCGTTCGTCCGCCCGTTCGCTGTGTGTTCCCGTGCCCCTTTGCCGCTGGGGTGGCTGGGTGGGTCCACACCCACACCTGCTTGCACTGGCGCAGGTGTACTACATCCTCAAGGAGGTACGGCAAGTGTTGGGGTTTAGGAGCGCGTTTAGGACAACTTGGGGGGTATGGGGTGGAACGGGGGGGCGCCTTGGGGCAGGCTTGGAAGGGTGGAGTGCGTTCGGATGGGGAGATATAGGAGATGGGACATGTAAATAGAACGTTCATAAAGCATCGAACGAAGGAAGGAAGGGGTAAAAGAGGATGTCTTTGGAAGTGGTGCGTGGGTTTGTGCGTGTGTGGGGTGGGTGGGTGGGTGGGTGCGGTAAGGGAGGGAGGGGGGGACGGAGGGCTTCCAGATTGTGTGAGGTAATACTCGACAGGACTTTGACCCTCAAATGGTAGTGCCGTACCAGACCTGTCTGTTGCTGTCATCCTCTAAACCACCCTCAAACCTCCCCCCCCAGGCACACACATACACATACACATACACCTCCAGAGGCCAGCACTCGGTGCTGGTTTGGACATGTCAGCAATTGTTTCTTTGTTCCTCCTTGCATCATCATACACGGCAGCAGCAGCATCATACCATGAACTCCACCTCCCACGCTGTCCTCCTCCTCCTCCATCCACCCAGGTGTACCAGCCACTGGAGCTGTTGCTGTTCATCGCGGCCATATGCACCATTGCGGATTCATTCGTTCCGCAACTCATTGCCGTACCGAGGGTGGGTGTGTAGTGAGAGTGTATGTGTGTGTATGTGTGTGTGCGAGGTGCTATTGAGTAGGAGGAGGTTGTGTGATTTGGCAATGTCAGTGGGGGTTGGGAGGGGTCGGATCTGGGTGGGGTAGGGCAGGGTAGGGTAGGGTAGGGTAGGGTGGGGTAGGGTGAGATGTGGTCCGATGGGCCTCGTGGGTTTCCTGACACTCACC